GGGAGTCATAGCGTAAGAAAACAGACAGTATAAATTTCGTACAATCGTCTCTGAAGTCTCATCCTTTGTGTTTAACCGTGTACTTTCTAATTCTGAAATAACGGAAACAAAAGATAACGTTTGTGGCAGTAAAAACTTATTTTAACAGGGGTTGCTCCTGATGCTAAACTAATGTAAATCTGCAAAAAACTGAATATCAATATTTGGCAAAGATCAGAGACAACCAATAGGGCGCAAGATTGAATCATAAATTATGAAATTTCGGATGTTAAAAATGAAATATGAGTGTTTGAAGTGACGGGATATCGGATTCAGATACGTATTTTGCTTTTTTCAGCTTGATTTTTTTACACTGCATTGTGTCCCTTTAGGCATGATAATCTGTGGAAATTCTAAAGTATGAGAGATTGAGTAAATGAAAAAACGACTTGTCAATTTTATCAATCTGATTTATCATTGATAATTATTATTTTCTCTTCCAAGCCGAAGATTGGCTTTATTTTCTTCCGGCAATTATCATTTTCTTAAATCACTCAAATTGCGATTTTCAAAAATCCAGCCGCATTGCTTAAATAAGCTTACATGAGATACAAAAAAAAAAAAAAAATTAAATTAAAGATTGTAAACTGGATCCTTGTAATCTTAAATGTCCTGTATCATGGTATCCTGGTATTATTGTAATCTTGTATCCTGGATCTTTGTAATCTAGTATCCTGGATCATTGTAATCTAGTATCCTGGATCCTTGCAATCTTGTATTCTGGATCCTTGTCTTGTATCCGGGATCCTTGTAATCTTGTATCCTGGATCCTTCTAATCTTGCATTCTGGATCCTTGTAACCTAGTATCCTGGATCCTTGTAATCTTGTAATCTTGTATCCTGAATCCTTGTAATCTAGTAACCTGGATCCTTGTAATCTAGTAACCTGGATCCTTGTAATCTTGTATCCTGGATACTTGTAATCTAGTAACCTGGATCCTCGTAATCTAGTATCCTGGATCCTTGTAACGGCCTAGTATCCTTAATCCTTGTAATCTTGTATCCTGGATCCTTTTTAATCTAGTAACCTGGATCCTTGTAATCTAGTATCCTGGATCCGTGCAACCTAGTATCCTGCATCCTTGTAACCTATTATCCTTAATCCTTGTAATCTTGTATCCTGGATCCGTGTAGTCTAGTATACTGGATCCTTGTAATCTTGTACTCTGGATCCTTGTAATCTAGTACCCTGGATCCTTGTAACCTAGTGTCTTGGATCCTTGTAATCTAGTAATCTAGTATCCTGAATCCTTGTAATCTAGTAACCTGGATCCTTGTAATCTAGTATCCTGGATCCTTGTAATCTAGTAACCTGGATCCTTGTAATCTTGTATCCTGGATCCTTGTAATCTAGTATATCTGGATCCTAGTAATCTTGTATCCATCCTTGTAATCTAGTATCCTATGTATCCTGGCTAGATCTGTGAATCGATATCAAAATTGTGCAAGCTTTTAAATTGTGTCGAAGGCGGATATACAGGGCTACCCAAAAAGGATGAGACTTCAGAGACGACTGTACTGTTTGTTTTTTATATTTATGATTCTAGCTCAAACTCTTTACTTGTTTCTTTCTTATCGAAATGGTGAAATAAATAAGCTAGAACAAAACTATATTCAACAAAGCAGACTAAATGTAACTAATGTGATCATATTTTATGTGTTTCAAGTCGTCTTTACAGTCTAATCTTTAGTGGATAACACTGTATCCCAACCTTCTTGATCCAACATAATAAACTTTCATCATAATCATCAATCTACTTCACTTAAAATTTTATAAACAAGCGAAGATTATCCCCGTAGATTTAACGAATTCCCCAATCAAAATTTGAGGCAAATAGGTCAAAGTGTTACTGAATAATAGATCAAACATACAGAGATTACTATTTTATATAAATAGAATGTGGTTTATAACATGCAATGGGGATGGGGCCGGGGGGGGGGGGTAATAGTGCGTGAGTTTAATATTTTTATGAATAATCATAGTACTGAAACCAAAATAAATACTCTGAAAAGTATCTACAACATAAAACTGTTAAACAGAGATATTTTTGTTTAAATTTTCCAGTTTGACATATGCATCGAATAATTAATTATTGTAGGGGCAGGGACAGACGGGACCGTGTCTATCCAATACTAGGAACGGATAAATCAATGTCTAGATACCGGGTGTCAAAAAAACATAAGGATGGCTACCGTCTTCGATACAGGGTGGCCCAATAAGCATGGGAATTAAGGGATTTTTTCGTGAAGAAAATTTAAAGGTTAGTATTTCTGTTAAACATTTAACATCTACAAATACTAGTCATGAGAATTCCTAAATCTGGTTTAGAGATATGCTGAAATCTTTCCAGAGCTGGCAACTTTTTCTACAGTTTAACAAAAAGAATGAGATCAGATCAACCATTGATCTCAATAGCCTCAATGCACCAATACCCAGCTCTGGATCCAATTTGACCAATATAACAATTGTTTAAATCAAATTAAATCAAATCAAATTAAATCATTTATTACACGAAGATTAATATTTTTACAATATAAATATCACATAGAAAAGTATTATCCTCGTGAGGGAAAATTAATCTGGATGATAATAAACAATATATTGCTCAGCTCTATCAAACCATTACAGTAACAAACATTACCAATATTCAATTAAGAATAATTAAAATTATTGAAATGTTTGTAGGAACACATATCCCATTTTTAATACTGCAAAGAGATAATGTATATCAGAATATACATTCAAGTTTTTAAGTTTAGGTGAAGAAAGAGATGTACATACATGAAAGGTTGGAATTTTAAAATCCGATTATCTAGTGTTTAAACAACAAGGACACAATAGCCTTTCACAAGTGAACCCCTGTAATTTATCAATAAGATAGGCTTTAGAGGCAGATTTAAAAATATTTTTAGAATCGGATTGCTTAATTTCAACAGGAAAATTATTCCATGCGGAAGGAACAGATACAAAGGGGAATCTTCTAAGAAATTCAGATCTGACTCCGGGTACAAAATAATCATTAGCATTTCTAAGTCCTGGATTCAACCCTCGTTCAGAGTTTTGTAAAAAATAATCCTGAAAGGAATTGGGTAGGATATTTCTATCATAAGAAAACATAAAAATCATATTTTGCTGTAAAATTAGATCATCAAGGGGCAGAATATTCAGCTTAAAGAACAAGGGTTGAGAATGGGCGTTATGTTTAATACATAGATTAATTAATATAACAGATAGGGTACTAGAGTCATATTTTTCAAGATTTGGATGAAACTCGTTCAAAATAACCCTGAGGAGTTTCGCGCAGTCGGCATAGAACAGGCTAGCTCTGTCTTGTAATTCTACGCCGAATACGCGAAATTGCTCTGAGCTTCTGCCAAAGGGTTATGGTGAACGAGTTTCATCCAAATCTTGAAAAGACGACATCTAGTGTCCTATCTGTTATTTTAATTACTCCATGGTTTGATATCTCAGTCAATTTTAAAGATACAACTATAGAAGGCCGACCACATTTTGAAAATCTCATAAGACACACCCTCAACTAAGCTTTCGGTATGTATAACTCATGTAACTGCAATCGGCATGCAGTAAATGTAATCCGCGGTGCACTGACCGAAGATATGGTAGCGTTCGTTTATTTTTCAGAATGTCGTTCTTTAATTTGTGGAACAGCTGTGGCTAATTTGTTTGAAAACCGGTCAAGAAATATTTTAATGGTTTAGCTTTCTTATTAGTTTCAGAAAAGGTGCCGAACAGCCTTATACGGAAAATCAACTCACTTATAATCAAAATCAGATGCTACAGGGTGTCCCAAAAAACATGGGAATTCAGTGACGAATTCGATATCGTCTTTGTTATGAATTAGCATTGTAATACCTAATTTCAAAACCTATAATATTATTATGTCTGCTAGAGTTTATTTAATGAAAAGGGTAAAAGACTGTAAAGATGTGTCTATAATGTCTCTGCAAGATGAACAGTGAATACGGACAAGTTTACTCTGTTTGTATACTGAAATTTTCTTGTTTTACTAAGTACAACCGTATGCAGTCAAAACATAAACAAACAAAATGTAAACATAGCAGACGAAACTCTTACAGATTACAGCTTTCTCAGTAGGTATCACAATACTAAATCAGAGAATTATTTAAAAAGAAGATATCGAATTCGTCACTGAATTCCCATGTTTTTTGGGACACCCTGTATCAGCCTCCAGTGCTATCCAAACATTTGCTATCAAACTTACTATCAACCTAGTTACTATCACATTCATTTGCTAGATGGCCTCAAATGCTACCAACCCATTTGCTTTCAAGTCTCGCTTGCTTTCAATCCTCAGTTGCAATAAACAATTTTGCTATCAAATTTTTGACTTGCTTTTTATCCTTATTCTTTCCAATTTTATTACTATTTATCAGCAAAAAAAAGGAATAATTTCTCAAATTTGGAATTCTCCATTCTCTGTCAAACTTTGCAAGTGCATGGAGCCGGCTAGTTTTGTTGCCTTAAGTAATAGTACCAATCTTTTAAAAGAAATAAAAAACTACCAGTATTTCCGCAACAAACGAGGCAAACAATACACAGGTGCCAGAAATACAGGATCAAATATGTTTAAGTATTAGAAGGTCTACCAGTCAACAAAAAATCAGTGTGAATCATTAATTGCAATTCTTTCCAAGAATCACAAACTTTTGGAAAATTCTTGACGGCTTCCAGAGACAGGAGGCATTTGAGGAAACTATGCTCAGAGAGAACAGTTTTGCTACCGTGCGCCAAATGCAGACTTAAAAAATCAATTTTTGAAAAAAATATCAATTTTTGAAACAAAAATCAATTAGGATTTTTTTTGCTTTGTTAGCCCCAGGATACCCCTGAGTTCCCTTAAATTATCAGCCCATGCAGCCCAGCCGGCTATACGGAAAATATATACAAAACTTGACGTTTTATTAAATAGAGAAAATAATTCGAGATTAGCATAGATATATTCAATTATTCAGATATATTCAAGGACGTTAAAAGCAGAACTATTCAGAATAATACAATATTACAATATTATATAGTTTACAGAATACAAAAACCAACAGGAACAATGCTCCGTCATAAACAGTTCATGTTCTCTTCACAAAATTTGGTTGTACTAATCAGAGTACAATCTCTTGAATGACGAAGAGTACAAATCTGAATTAAACGAAGATATATAGATCCTCCTCTTTTTCTACTCTTCTCCGGACAGTTCTGAAAACAATTACAATAAAAAAGCAATCTTTCAGTGGGAGCCAAAAACTGGGGAAAGGAAAGACAACGGTTTCCCTGAAGTTCTAATTTTAATTACAATGTGTCCCAAGAAACATAACAGTAGTAGGACAACCTGAAAGTCGTCTTTGATCTTTGAATTTATTTGAGACATTTTGTCTTCAACCTTCTTTAACTTGATTCTTGGAGGTTCCAGAGCTTAGGATCCGGATCCGTTGGATCCGCAAGATTTTAGCTTCCTGCAGATCCGGATTCGCAAGAATATGCGGATCCGGATCCAAAGGGCAAAATATTCATCAAGACTGAAGATAAAAATTTACTCGTAAAACCCAAATCTGAACGAAGAGATTATAAAAATTATTTGATTTCTGAGTGGTTTATCAAGTTCATAAAGATAAGCGAAAAAAATAAGATAAAATTTTTAAATTCTGCTTTGTTAATAAAATTCAGTAAATTTTAAGGAAATAAACTTGATCCGGATCCACTTTTTTCCAATGCGGATCCAGGATCCGGATCCGCAACAAAATGAAATGAATTCTTAGCACTGCTTGAAACAAAGACACCATATTTCTCCAAGTCCTGGCGTTTCCAAACTGTGGTCTGCTTTTTTTACTGCCAATATTACCGGAGATATAAACAATTTCGTTCAAATTTTAATTTAAAAAAATAAAACAAAAATGGTCGAAATCAACAAAATTCTATATGGTAATAATGAAAACACAAAAAAGGCAGACCACATTTTGAAAATGCCAAGACTAGGGATATTTTCAGACGATTAAGGCTAGAATGCTACAACTAAAACTAGGTTTACGAATAAATGTCGTAAAAAATTCAAAGATCAAAAACGACATTCGTGTTTTCTTGCAACTGTCATGTACCGTGGGAAACCAAGGTTCACTGAAAATAAAAAACGAAATTGTGAACACAGAGAAATTTCACTTTGGTTGAGTTTCAAACCACCGACAAACCTATTTGCATTTGCTACTCAAATACAAATAAGATTGCTTAAATTAGATCTTCCTATTCCACAATTTTATGAGACCCACTGTACACTATTTCATTACTTTTCATTATCATAGAATGTGAATCAAATTTTCAATAAGAGTTTATAACAGTTCGCCGCGCGAGCTGACAAGCCACTCCTCGTATTTCAGAAATGTTGGCAATTTAGGAGATTCAAGCTGTAAAATGATTAGTTTTTTTTTTAAGAGGAAAAGAAAAATTGACGAAAAACATAGAAAATACCAGATAGAAAATTTGATCATCATCTGGGTAAAGCATTAAAGAAAGTATAAAAGAAAAGCGTGTTAACTTCGGTGCGGCCCACAATTGTCAAGTTAGTAAGCAAATCCAAAAAAACAAACAATAATTAAGATTGGTACAAGGCAGTGCTTTTGATCCATTTCATTTTGATGCGGACCCGTATCCTGGATCCAGATCCATTTGGTAAAAACATGAATCCAAGATCAGGATCCAGCTCAGGCATATTTCTGTCAGTTTTGCAATTTTATTTTCTCAAGAATTTCCAAATTTTCCTTTGTTTGATTTTGTTTTAATTTTTTTCAAGCATTGTGGAATGTGGATTTATCATTCAATGGACCCACAAAATGAGGAAATGGACCGAAAAAAAGAGGAAACCGATTAAAAAACTGAGATTTTAAAACTTATTCTGAAAACCGGAAACGGACCCAAAAAATAAGGAAACAGCTAAAAATATTGGGAAATCCCTCAAGAATTTAAGACCCGTATAAAATGGAATCCGACCTAAAAAACGGGGAAACGGATCAAAATAACGAGAAATTCCTCTAAATATTAGATTTGAGGGATTTCCGATAATTTTTGAAAAACAGGAAACGCCTCAAAAAAATTCATTTTAGGGAGGTTTCCGTTTTTGGTCCGATTCCGTGTTGAGGCGTCTCCATGGCACCAGTAAAACAGGAGTGCATATTTTTGAGAATTCACCAAAAATTATTTTTGATGATCTGGAGAGGGAAAAAATATCAAAAATTGGACATCGAAAGAAGGCAAGTTTTTCATTCTTTTGATACTTTTCCCCCAAACTAAAACCATAAAAACCATATTATGGATAAAAAATGAGTTTTGTAGGGGAAAGTAAGGATCGGAGGGGAATCCCCGAGCTAAAATGTTGCGGATCCCATGGATCTGGATCCTAAGTACTGAACCAAAGTGTAAGGAAAGAAATGAATACCTGGTTAAGCACGCAGAGCTGTTTCAATGTTATCGGGATCTAAATTTATTAGCAAAATGTATACAAACTTGTTAGTAAACAAACAAACAGGATCACGGAGAACAAGATAACAAAATCAGTATCGGTCTTAATCAAGCAAAATTTTAGTTCTAAAATCTTCATTTAAAAAACATTACTTTATTGCAAAATTTGTATCATTTAACTTTAAAATTAATTTTTTTTATTTTTGAAGAAAGCCATATTTAAAAAACAATTATCTGTATTTGTCATACAAAAAAGTTTTGATAAATAAAGAGGAAGAACTCCAAAATATTGAATTAGTCAGCTTAGCAGTCTTGAACGCTGATAATGAGCTGAGCAAGCAATAGGATTTACAAACAAATGGGGAGAACTCGGGACTTTTTAATTTAATTATTTTCTTTGCAACACTAGCGTACCTAAACCTCCAAACCATAAACTACACTCCTACTGAATCCAATTATAAAATACAATTTCCCAAACCTTCTGTTTCCAAACGATAACTTTCTCTTACCAAACGTAAGCCTTCTGTTCAAAACCACAATTCATCTGTTACCAGTCACAACCCTTCTGTTCCTAACCACAGTTCATCTGTTACCAGTCACAACCCTTATGTTCCTAACCACAGTTCATCTGTTACCAGTCACAACCCTTCTATTCCCAACCAAAATCCATCTGTTACCAGTCACAACCCTTCTGTTCTTAACCACAGTTCATCTGTTACCAGTCTCAACCCTTCTGTTCCTAACCACAGTTCATCTGTTACCAGTCACAAACCTTCTATTCCCAACCAAAATCCGTCTGAACCTAACCACCAACCTACTGTGCCCATCAACCACAAACACAAATCCTTCTATATCCCACTAAATACAATATGATTCCAGAAAAAACCTTCTATTCAAAACCACAAACTGTTCCCATCCACAAACTTCTGTTCCTAACGACTATTATTCTGTTCCCACCCACTAACAAACCATCTGGTTTCCAACCACAAGTAAACCTTCTATTCCTAACCACTATAGAAGCCTTTTGTTCCCAACCACAAAACTTCTCTTCTTAACCTCACAGCTGCTCCCAACTACAATCCATCTGCTCCTAGTCCCACAACTTCTGATCCCAACCCTAACCCTACAAATTCCAACCATTTACCTTCTTCGCTTTCCTCCTCGCTGTCATCGCTGTCGAAGGTATTGTCCGGGATATCGTAGAGTCGGAGGAGAGTCTTGTTAGGATCCTTCACTATCAGATACTTTCCGTCCTTAGCAAATACAAGACTAAGGGACTGTTATTTTCCGTCCTTGTGTCTTAAACGTATATATTTAATTCTATGTTGAACATTTTTGCTTAAAGTTGAACAAATCATTAACATTAGGTTTACCTTCTGTTGCATGATGATATCCAGGATACAACGTATAACTCCCCAAGCGTTGTCCATGCTGCAAATAAATGTAAAAGTCAAATCAAGACACAACCAACAGGTCAAATCACTCATCGTAGTTGAAATGATAAAACCAGTTGAAACCTGTTCAAACCAGTTTCCAGTTTAAACCAATTTAAACCAGTTTTAACCAGTTCAAACCAGAGCCGGCGATTTAAAAAGTTTAAGAAAATACGACTTGGGTCTAAGCTGTTGTTGAGCCTTATATACGGCTCGGGCTTTCGGATTTAAGTTGCATCTATTTTTCAACAGAATTTAGTTCATAAAACCGGTTTAATGTTGTATTTGGCGGATTTTCATAGTTGGAATTGGTGCATTCCGGGTTTTGATGAGAANAATCCTTCACGTTAAACCGAGTAACATATCTAGATAAATACATTCGTAAATATATCTTAACACAGTTGTAAACATATCTTAACACAGTTGTAAACATATCTTAACACAGTTGTAAACATATCTTACAGTTGTAAACATTTCTAGATGCAAAGTTATAATTACAGTGCTTAGGATCCATTTCATTTTGATGCGGATCCGGATCCTGAATCCGCACTAGAAAAAATAGTTCCGGATCCGGATCCAGGTTATTACCATAAAATTTACTGAATGTTTTAAAAAAAAGCAGAGTGTTCAAATTTTTTGTCTTATTTTATTCCGCTTATTTTAATGCTTTAAATTAATGAACCTTTCAGAGATCAGGACATATTTATAATCTCTCTTTTTTTAATAGTTCAGTTTTAGGTTTTAAGAGTAAATTTTTTTGTTGCAGTTTATGGATCCGGATCCTTGGATCCGCACATTATTGCGGATCAGGATCCAGGATGCAAAATCTTACGGATCAAACGGATCCGGATCCTAAACAAATCTAGAAAAACAAAGTTGTAAACATATCTAGATAAACAAAGTTGTAAACATATCTAGATAAACACAAATGTAAACATAGATAAACACAGTTGTTAACATATCTAGATAAACACAAATGTAAACATATCTAGATAAACACAGTTGTTAACATATCTAGATAAACACAGTTGTAAACATATCTAGATAAACACAGTTGTAAACATATCTAGATAAACACAGTTGTTAACATAGATAAACACAATTGTAAACAAATCTAGATAAACAGAATTGTAAACATATCTAGATAAACACAGTTATAAACATATCTAGATAAACACAGTTGTTAACATATCTAGATAAACACAGTTGTTAACATATCTAGAACAACAAAAGTTGTAAACAAATCTAGATAAACAAAGTTGTAAACATATCTAGATAAACCCAGTTGTTAACATAGATAAACAGAGCTGTACACTATATAAACATAGTTGTAAACAAATCTAGATAAACACAGTTGTAAAAATATTAAGATAAATACAGTTGCAAGTTTATAACTGTGAAATTTAAGGTCTAAAAAATGTCCAACTCACCCAAACTTGAGGTTGTCTGCTCCAGCAAGGATTGCTTGAACAGTCCACTTGGCCAGCTTGCAGGCGTTGTTCTTCAACTCGTTTGCTAGTACAGCTCCTCTCTATATTATAATCAGTAAGATTTTGCAGATAAAATACATGATGAATGGTAATCATGAAAGTTAAGAAAACAAATTGAGGTATCTTTGAACGAATTTTTATATTTTGTGAGGATAATAACCTGATTATTTAATCCTCAAAATAGGTAAATAATATTAATGATGATCTTCCTCCGAATACATCCCCAGTCCAAGGAAGAAGAAAATTTTGAACAAATTGACGCGGAGATATAATTTTTTTTGAAAATTTAACCACCCAATGTTTTGAGACAGAGTACTAGAGGGGGAAATATCAAAAACAAAAAATATTGAGAAAACTAACTTTTATATTGCGATTAATTAACGATAATACAAAGGTACTAAAAGACCACAATGATAAAATTTTAATGATGATAATATTTTATCAATAACAACAAACCTGTGTATCCAACTTCTGTCTCCAATCCACTCCGCCGGAGAATCTGAAAAGAGATTGAACAAATTATTTAAAATTATTTAAAAATCAGATAAGAATTCATGTTCAACATAAAAAATCCGAATCAAGCGATTGAATTTTAATAATCCCGCCATACACCGAGAATGTATATTGTATAATGTATATTCCGAAACTGCCATCTTTACCCAACAAATCCCAGGGTATATTATTCTAGACATAGAGTACACCCCTCCCCGGGAAAAAGATTTTCGATGCTGAAAAATTGTACGTCAACTATAGCAACACCCTATTAGATATTCTTAACCCCAGAACCTCATTTATTATAATTCACTAGAAATATTTTATTGCTACCATTTCAGTTAAAAATCCCCCAACCCTCAAAACACGAAACAGGTAAAAAATATTTTCAAAAAGGGCGGAATGGAACCACGCTATCAGAAATAAATATTTAAATATTAAATATTTAAAATGAACCTTTTACGTGTTTTTGTTTTACCTTGAATCCCACTCATTGAGAGCTTTGATGTTGACGAATTGAGTCTCGTTGTTAGATCCCTAAATTTTAATAAATATCATTAGAACAGAGGAGTATAAATTTTAAAATGATTTTTGATAATTTGTGACTCTAATTGGTTGAATTCTACACACTTTTCAGGGATACAAGCACGAGATAAGGTTAGTCTCGAGATTAAGAAAAAGAGAGGATCAAGCATTGATCTTGATATCTACCATTCTAAATTCCCAGCTCAGTTTCATGTTTATTAACTAAAAAAGGAGCATTCCAAAACAATGTGTACTAGAAATATGAAAACTGAGAAGCGGTTCGACCAAAATGGCTCACATTTATGAGCGAACCTTTGAGTGTCACGGGGGATCAAAGACTTAAAAAAAAATTATTTTTTGAAAGTCCACAGTGGGAGTAATTATGAGTAACGGGGGCAACGCCGGGTTCTCAGGCTATTTTTATTTATTCTTACTACATTATTAATATAATGGGTCTCAAAGATGGGAACTTTTATCCTTGGCAAAATTTTTAAAGGGGGTGGAGATGTCACTTTTGATGTAAGGGGGGGGGGGGCTATATGCTGTAGTACTCCAACCAGGCGGAATTACAATATTAGATAAGAAAGGTTTAACTTCTAATTAAAATAGCCAAATCTTGCGAAAGTTCAGATTGAAATCATCAAATGAAAAAGGAATATTTTAAATGTATTTAGAAAGGTTGTAATTATCAGACGAATATTTCAATTGAAGCCAGTTTAAATCTGAAAGGGCGTTACAAAACCGAGAATCACTCGAGGGAAAATACAGGGGGGGGGGGACAAGCCCACCTGTTGTACAGCATCCAATTCACATCTACAGACTAGAACAAGATCGTTTCCAAGTTCCCATTTCCTATATCGGTACGCTACACTTGCAACCTAGAATATATCACAACTAAATCATAAAAATTTTAATTTTATCATCTACCAATAAAAAACCAACAGTACATTTTGTTCATTTATTCTAAAACGGGAGTACTGGAATATGTTATAAAATATAAACTATATACAAATGTGGCAAAAGATAATCGATGACTATAGGTTGTAATATCTGAATGATTTGTTTGAAATTAAATTGATTTTTTAAGTTAAGTCGTAAGTTGCAATTTTCTGAATTTGTATGGGCGCTAAGTTATTCGGTATGAGACGTCTTTAACAATTTTCTCCTTACAGACGCAACCGATAGAAGTAAAATTAGTAGCGATCAAAAGCGCTTTTTTATCGCATTAAGCCTATACACCTTTCATTTTTCGCGAACACTCCCTTAAAGGTAAAACTATATTCTAATTTGTTATGGAGAAACTACAATGATTTACAATTCAATACAAAGAAAAGTTTTAATGAAACCATGAAATGAGATTACAAATGCGTTTGACGTAAAAAAAGTGTTCAACTTGATGTATTATCTAAACGTATGCCACTTGGATCCGGATCCGATAATTCCATATTTATACGGATCCGGATCCTGGGTTCAGATCCAAAGATTCTGGTTCAGATCCCTGAATAATTATAAGCATTACCTCTCCTTCTTCGTCGGCGTCGACGAAAGGATTATCCTCGTCGAACTTGAATCTTTCCTCTCCAGTTTTCAGAACCTAGGAATAATCGTTGATATAGGCATATCTTGTTTAGGCAAACTGTCTGAAGGAAGAATAACTAATTCCGCTAAATTTCTTAAAGATATAAAATACTGAATGTTAATTTGAAGGAAAACCATTCTTAATTAAGCTTTTTGGTAGTAAAAGGGCGAGGATTTTGAAAATATTTAAAAAGTTACATCAACAAACTGCAAAATTAAAGTAATTTTCAGACTAATGGCTATATTTTCTCCCCCCCCACCCACCCCTGTGGAGAATGTTTGAGCGAATTTTCGGGGAAAGAATCAAACAGGGTGAAAAAAACAGTAATTTTGAAGAAGAATAAAAATCGCCCCCCTCGGGTGTTCTTCATAGTTACGATATATAGATATATTTTATATCTTTTTCTATTGAACATGTGATTGTTAAACACTACCTGCTGACTGAAGTTATGGTTGACAAAGGTCGCCTCCAGAGCCAGGTTCCTCGGACTGTTCGTGCTTCCACCTTCATCCTAACATTTAAAATTTCATTTTTATGGGATTCGGATCCCGGAACTGTTCTCTATAAAATTTACCAATTCTACCACCTTCAACAGTCAACACCCCCCTACCCCCCACGCATACGCCATAAACTGACGAACTCCTGGTGATGCCAAACTTTTTGGCGAAATATATTATGTAGATAATGAAGCAACTCTAGTAATAGAGATTAGGTTTGGGATTTGTTTAAAAACGAGCTAAAGTCTACAAAAATAAATCCAAAATCGGATCCAGCTCTTGAATATTTCTTAGTTTTGATAATTTCTGTAGACAAGCACAAATAAAATTTTTTCTTCATGCTTTAAAAAAATAGAAACTTAAATAACAATTCCATTATTAGAAAGGCCTTAATTTGTGTTAAAGTGAAATACGGTCTTTTCCCGATGTTTTTGATGCTTCTTCTAATCGGACTCCTATGCCCTGGTGCGAATCCGGAGCCCGGCTAAAACTGAAAACCTTGTTTGTTTCAGAGCGTTTAATCACAAACAAATTGATCTTTTCTTTCTCAATAGATTTTGTATTAAATTATCAAAATTATTTTTCGCTTCTTATTATTAACTAGCGGAAATGCTCGGCGTTGCCCGTGGAATTTTTGAAAATCGAAAATAAAAAAATAGGCGCTTGAAAAAATCCTATTTTTAAGAACAATAAGATTTCTTTTTTAAAAAAAACTTTTCAGCCCATTCGGTCCAGCCCTTTGGCTGGCTATCGGGAACATGTATACGAATGTCGTGTTTTATTTTATGGAAGATTGCTATAAGAATACCTGAGGAGGCTCAGAACTCGTCTCACTCACGGTCAGAAGATCGAACTCAGTGTTTTCACGCTTATCGAAGAAAATCTAAAAAAAGAATATTATATTCATCGTGAATCCTTCTCTATAAAAACAGATTTTTTTTTATTGGAAGAACCAGGAAATTTGTAATTTACTTCAAAGTTAGAAGACGTAAGGCGAGGGGGTATGATTTATCTATTTTAATTGGGACGTAATAGGACTTCTCAGATTAGGGAGGGAACCCCCGGACGCTATGAGCCTCCGCTATGCAGACACGAGCCTCACAGATTTGCTAGGCAAACCGAGCCTCAGCTTTGAAGAAATGAGCATGCGCAATACATCAAAATGTGCCTGTGTAATACAGGAGGGGTTTCTAAAACTTTCTTTTGACAGTTTAAATTATAAGATTTTTTTCTCCAAATATTTCAAAATAGTGGCACGAGGGGTTTGTCAAAGATAAGAAGTATTTATCAATTATCATAAATAGTGCCTAATTATGTCTAATGATATATAAAACTTTGAACATTTTTACCTGAAAAGGGAAATATTCAGAGAAAAAAATTGGATAAGAATTTCATTTAATTTTCTATAATCTTTGATTTATGCGATACCTTTTTTGAAGTTCAAATTAAATCTAGAAAATTGGTATCATTTATTTAAATATTAACATTTTTCAATCGAAGATTATAACAAAAACTGAATTTACTCCAGAAATATTTCTCCAAATATCTTTCTTTCTGCGTAAGAAATGTTTAAAGTTTTAGTATATATCTTATAAACCACTTTACCGAGTCCATTTATGATTTTTACCATGACAATTAACAAATAACTCTTATCTTTGGTAAAATTCTTATGCCACTTGTCAAAAAAATTGTGAAAATTTTTTAACACACATAAAAAACCCAGAATTAAAAAAGCTGTGCTGTATGGTGGAGGCTTGTTTACTGCATAGCAAATCTGGGAGATACTGGTTTCTAGTACAGCCCATAAAACAATCTCAAAAAGGAAAACGACTTTTGATTAGACTCGAGTAATAGTTTTGAAAAATCAACGTGAATAACACCAATTGTGCAGTGTAAACTATCACTTGCTACGGTAAAACTACACACAAGTTTTCTAAATGTCGTCTTCTCAAGTCCAGAGTTTTTAATGGATATCCCACTGTAAATAAACACCAGTTGGTAAAATAGTGATTTCAGCGTGTTTCTACCCCAGGACACTCAATCATGTCTGTTTCAATTTTCGTTTTGGTTTCGACAAAACTAGACCTGAAAGGCCCCAATAAAATATGTTCGACGTTCGTCCTCGTGAAACTATTAATTTATTTAATGATTTGTCAATACATCTTTATTTTACATAATTTAAAGCCAACCCATGAATGCTTATACCTAGCCGTTTTCTTCAATTTGATGTTTTGCAGTTTTTTGGGTTATAAATGCCGCTGAGCGCACGTCTACAACCATCTATTGCGTCCCTGTGAGAGACTACCCCAAGTATCTGATCTGTCAAATCTGTGTACTGCAGTGGGAGGAGATCAAAACAAAGAATTCAGGGGCAACATATCATTTTTGAGGGAAAAGGGCCCAAGGGGTGGAATAAGAATATGTTGTTTTTGCATTTTCCATATTACCAAAAAGCCAAAAATCATAAGTATTCGCTCAAACTTGATTGATGAACTTGGTTTTTGTTGGACTGTAATATCACATCAGAGCTTTAGTCCTTTCCCTTCAACTTCTGCGAGGGCACAGGGTTTGTTTGTATTCCTCCCACAGAGTACAGTACACAATTTGAGCACATCTGAGATGGGCGTCCCTGTATATAGTTCTTTGGACTTCCCTACCTTTCCACCGATTTTATCAACAACAATATCCCAGGAGTACTGAGATCTAGTTGCACACATCAGGGTTGCCAGGATAGCATCAGTTACAAACACATTCGCCTGAAAAGATGTATTTCAATAAACCTAAATAATTCTATGGTGGTATATTTTTGACTGTTTATTTGCTTGGTACAGTTTCTTCAACTTTTCTTAAAAGATTTCCCTAGACTGGTTTTCATTCAAATGATTTTTTTTTCTTAAATTATTTTGCCACTTTTTGAGATTAGAAACTACCAACTTTGCTTGCACTAAGAGTGAAAAAGGAATATCGCAAATTGATTTGAATTAATGATTCTTTTTTCCCCGGTTTTACAAGGAGTTAGGTTATAAAAATAAAAATCCCAATAATTGCAGTATATGGATTTTTAGATCTGTGTCACTGTCAACCTTCTGTGAAAATTTCATTTTTGAACAAAAACAGGAGTTTGACAAGATTATCAGGAATGCACTAATCATTTAAGCTATGCTTCTCTTTTATCATGGTGTGATAGGTTTGTCAATGTAGGTGTGATAGGTTTGTCAATGTAGATTGTATTTAGAATAATCAAATTTAAAAGAAATAAATACAATGTTTCAAATATTCCAAATTTGTTTTTTAACTCTTTATAGAAAAACAAATCTTTTCTGGGTTTCTTAACAGTTCACTGTTCGTCACATTTCTCAAAAGGGCTAAATCTAAAAAACCGAAGTGTCCTGGTTTTAAGACCCTAACTCCTAGCTAGCTAGTTTCCTACCTTCGGTTCCGCCTTCACCAGTTTCCTGATGACAGGATCATCTGTAGTTGTTACAGTGTGGAATATCCGGTCAATTCTTTGAAGAGCTTTCTCAGTTTTTACGTTCATCCTGCAGCAAACAGTTAATAATAAGATCAATATAAACCTTACGAACTAGGTTTTACAGCGAAATTAATAAAAGGAAGACAGAGAGAAAACTAGGGAAGTTTGTTTATTTCATTGAACCTGAGAAAAGAGAAAAGAAATGATATAAGATAAAACTATCGCGTTTTAGCGGGAACATCTGCTACACCGCTAGAAACCCAATTTCAACTACAAAATGAGAAAAAAATGTTGCGGAGTTAGCTTCTACTTGAATTGGTCCACCGTGCATCAATTACCTGTCGTATGCCTTGTCATAATACTCTAAACTACCCGCTTGTACCAGATCAACTGGTTCAGCAATATTGGGTAAAGCAAGCTTTCCCATCCGAACAAAATCCATTTCCTAAACGAACATTGATAAGTAACTTGAAACCATTTTGTTAAACATTTTTCCCAAATCTTTTTTTCAGAAATTTTATGTTATAATCCTTGATTTTTTCATACGAACGAGACAAAGGCATCATGTGTATTATGTTTTGATGTTCATCAACCAAGGTAAATAAAGCACCTCTATAACGATCCAGTCTGCCTTCACAGTGACGGATGCTTCCCTGGACTTGATCGGCATCTGCCGCTGATAGTTCTGCCGGCCAGCCTGCTGCTTCTGCCACTTACGGACTTGACGCTGACGATCCCTAAAAAATGTCCGTTTATGTAAAAATTCAGTCTGAAAAGGGAGTGCACGTGGTTCTCAATTTCAAGGGGCCGTTTTGTACTCCTTAAACCTCACCAGGGTGGGTCAGAACCTGCAGAAGACGGTTAATAACCGATATGAAAATCAATTTGATTTTTTTTTCGTGTTAACCTAGAATTAGACAGAATCCTGAGTTATTTCAAATTTCTTAAATCCTGAATTGCTATCAACTCTTGGAATAGGATTGGCCAATTAATTTTTTTCTTCAAAAAACCGGAATAAATCTACTTGAACGGGTTTACAACTATTTTATTATCAAGGGAGAAAGGCAAAAGTAATGTTGTGTTTTATTCGCAATCTGCAAGATTTTCGCTTGAATCGACCCAAACCATGAAAACCTTCTTCTCTTAATAAATACCCTTGTACTTGTTACCTTTCTTTGATTTTCTGCGCCTTGGTCAATGTTTGTAGCTGGGGAGTTACAACAGGTTTAAACGTATTCCACCTAAATAATCAATCCAGATCTAATTTACAAAATTAACCTTCAAACTAATAATCTATAAACAACTAAATCTAATCAAATCAACTAAATCAAACAACTGAATCCTCTACCCCAGCCAACCTTCCCCTGAATCCAACTTAACCCTATACTNCTGAATCCACCTCTACCCGACCTACCTGCCCCTGAATCCACCTCTACCCGACATACCTACCACTGAATCCACCTCTACCCGACATACCTACCACTGAATTCACCTCTACCCGACCTACCTGCCCCTGAATCCACCTCTACCCGTCCTACCTGCCCCTGAATCCACCTCTACCCGAGATACCTGCCACATGAATCCACATCTACCTCAACATACCTACCACTGAATCCACCTCTACTCCGACCTACCTGCCCCTGAATCCACCTCTACCCGACATACCTGCCCCATGAATCCACATCTACCTCGACATACCTACCACTGAATCCACCTCTACCCCGACATACCTGCCCCTGAATCCACCTCTACCACGGCCTCGTCCATACATCGGTTTCATTGTTCGAGCAGTATCAACCAACTACAATATATAAAGTCATGACCAGTAAAATGTAGAACAAAAATCTTATTTTTTTAAAGACTTTTTACTTAAAACGTTGACATGGATTTAGTCTACTTAACTTATGAAAATGTCATAGACATTTCCATCCATAAATAAGGCATTAGTTACAAATTAAAAGCGTTAGCAAAGACCTCTTACATTCCACTTCAGGCTAGATCGACTTTTTTAATTTCAATTCCAAATCATGTATACATTTCTGTAAGATTTACTGAATTTTTTGTTAACAAAATTGTCAAATTATTTTTCTCCTTTTAAAAGTTTTTGGTTGATATTTTGCCACTTACTAGGTCCGGATCTGTGGATCCGCATGTTTTTATGCGGTTCCGGTTCCAGAAAGCCAAAACCTTGCAGATCCAAAAGATCCAAAGCTCTGGGTTATTGTTAAAGTTTTAAAATAAAAAAAGGATAAATTATATTATTATGAACCTGGAAACTGGATTCATCTTCTTCATGGTAGTACGAGTACTGCTGTCCTAAAATGTTGGAAGGGGTCAGGGTGGGTTGGAAGGTTAAATGGATGGGTGAGAGGGGATTTTTTTTTTACTATTTTACTACTTTCACAGCACACTGCTTAATTTTTAAAAATTTGAAAAGAAAATTAACAATTTTTTCCCCTTCCTGCTACAGAAATAATCAGGCAATTTGTGTAGAAAATCGCAATTGAAATTTAATAATTTTAAGAACGAAAAACGAGATTATTCCCATATTTAGGTAAAGGGTACACTTGTGAATCAAGCATACAATAGAACAAGAACGTGAACATTGTTTCCTTAACAGGATGTGGGCCACACTCGGTTGTGTAAAAAATAAATATTTTTTATCGAGATTACCTCCTTGGAATTGCGAAGTATATTTATTCATATGCCTTCTATCCTGGTAGGTTGCTCCCGTCCAATCTGAGACCTGAAAATATGAACTGCAATGACACGCGACAAATTAAGGTCTGAAGGTTGATTTTACATTTCCTGGATTTTTCAATTAATTAATTTAAGAGCTGTAGCATTTTTCCCGAAATAGGGTTAACAATAATCCTCCCTTGATCTGCCAAGTTTGCGATAAAATAAACGAATACTTAATTTTAATGCCATCTTTCTGGCATTAAGCTCTTTCAATAGACAATGTTGGTTTAGGATCAAATGCATTTGACAACAAATTATCAAATTAAAAGGTTCATGCTAGTTTTTCTTTCAAATTACAAGATTCAGAATATAAATCGGATAAACAGATTTTCTTTTTCTTAAAATCTAGGTTTTGGACGAAGCAATTCCAAGGAATTTGTGAAAGAAACGAATAAAATATTGTTTTTTTACTGAACGCCATTTTCTTTCCATTAACCCATCTTAATCTAAGAGTCAATGAAAGTGGCAACAGAAAATATGCTCAGTTAATTTGGACAAAAATATACGAAAGGAATTCAACAAATTCTAACTATCATATAGAGTTACCCACAAAGTTATGTTAGATAGGAATTCAACAAATACTATCTATTATATACAGAGTCACCCACAAAGGATGAGATTTCAGAGAGGAATGTACGGAATTTATACGGTCTGTTTCCTTATATTCACGATTCCCTGCACCCTAAAGTCCAACTTTTTTTGACAATCATTCTAAAAACCCATTAAAAAGACCCATTCAAGAACCGAAAACTTAATTTAACATTGGGATCGCAAAATTTGCAGAATTACCAGTCGGCTTTACAGTCTCATCCTTTGTGGGTAACCCTGTGGCTCAGACAGAGTAAATTTAGAATAAATTGAGGAAAAAAACAATTTTTGTGTAATATTTATTTCTTTTATATTTTTTTTTTGAAGACTCAGTTGCTTCTGTAAGTTACAGATTTGTTTTTGTTTCAATTAATAATTAATATATTTTTTATGGAACTGTCATGTTTAATAGTAACTAAATAATTTTTGTTACTTAACTTTTTACAGATTTATTTTTGATACAATTTTTTAATATTTTGTAAGGGACTGGTCCTGAATATAAGTATTTGCTCACCTTTCCAAGTCTGTCCGACTTGCTGAAGGGTTGATACGGCATATCTTCAACATATTTTGTTAATTTTGTTTTAAACTTAAATCACAACTAGACTTGCTGAGGCCGAATTTTAAGAATTTGAGCAGCGGCTTAAATTTGAGACACGGCTTAAATATAGTTGGTTCTGTTTAAAATTGTATTCGTGGTTTTAAAATTTAAGCCGGCGCTCAATTGAAACCGGTTTTTGGCGGATTTGAGACGCGACTCAAATTCATTAAATTTGGACTCTGGACAATTATAGGTTTTGAAGAAGCCAACTTTAAGAGACTATCCATGTAATTTGAGGTGACCATTTATTGTAAAAGTTAAATGCCCGATTCTTAGCCATGTAAAACAATGAGAAAAAAATAAGGTCGTTTTTTCTATATTCTGGCAATTTCCTTCCTTTCATTGTTGTAAAGTTGTATACTTCGAAAAAGTTATTAGCTACTTGCTGCAATTGAGATTTATCAATTTTTAGACAAAAAAAAAGGGATTTTTGTGCAGATTTGTAAGGCTATGACTGTCATTTTTTTCAGATTGTGTTCCGACAAGTTGGACAGTCCTATCTATGTATTTAATAATGTCTGATCCTAAAAAAAAACCAATTAGATGATAAACTTGTTGGCTCCGCTATGTAAAATCATCCTGAAACTTTATTCTTAGCTTCATCCAAGTGATATTTCCTCACATAAGAAAGATTTCAAGAGTCTTGGTAAAAAGCTGAATTAGAATGAATGAAATTTGGAATTTAAATTTTTGATAATTAGGAATTTTTATTTTATTTATCTATCTGACCAGAAAACTTATTAATAAAATTAACACAATTCCTTTAAACTGGAGTGGGATAGTATTAGGTCCCCAGCCGCTAGCATTGTCCTGAAATAGGAAATAAATTAACGGTTTCATAAGCTAGTGAACGAAAGGGGAAACTGGTTCAGTCCAAGTACAACAATTTTATACCCTCCCGATATTAACTATATTTCCACATTACATTAATATTTGTTTTGCATTATTTCAGGATTTATATGGGATAAGACAGTTTAAGCGTGAAGCGCTGAGGCTAAACAGGATCTAGGGGGTCGTGTAATCCTTTACTAGGAAATTATTGGGGTACTTATTTGTTGTAGAATTAGGGGGAATTCTGAAATCAATTTTTCACCCCATTTCGCGATAAAATCCTCAAACACTTCGTTTATTTTAACCAAATTGGCCTAAATCTTAGGGAAGTAATTTTGGACACCCCTCCCACACTTCATAACAATTGTACATTAATTTTTTAAAAATATATTCGGAGGTGGAGCGCCGCGGCTTCAAAAGGCTAGGGCCGAGCGCTGCGGCCAGAATAAAATTACGACACTTTCTGGTCTGAGCGCTGCGGCAAAGACAGACTTGGGGGCCGAGCGCTTCGGCCACGCGTTAGATTAAGTTATGAAACTTTCTGGGCCGAGCTATGCGGCTAGGACATGCTAAGGCCCGAGCGCTGCGGCCATAAATTTCAGTCATTCAATACTCCACAAACGAGTGAGGTATGGTTTAAAAAAAGTTTTTAAAGTTTTTTTTTTATATCTTTCAAGATTAAACTAATTCTTAAAATTAAAATGTCCAAAATTTTCAAGGTTGATTTTGTAACATTTCCCTTCAAAGACAGGAGATAAAAACGGATCTGCATTCTTTTTCATTCTGTTTTTTCTCTCTCTTGTATTTAACAGTAATGTATGAAAAGTACGTTATTCATAAGGAAGTGAAATCTGCAAGAGGCCCCAAATGCAAAATTTTAAAACATTAAATACCAAAACAAAACTAAATTGTTATGTCAAAACAAAAAAGAGAGCCTGTTATTTTCTTGTTGTCATGTTTCTGCTCAATATATTAAATTACACATGTCTTTCGTAATAGAGCTGTTGATATTACTGATCTCAAACAACGCTGATTTGTTTTTAACCTTTGTGACAGAAACAATCTCAAGAACTGACGAGGGTCAACCCAGACCGAAATATATTTTCAATAAATGTGGAACCAACATCTACTTTTTTACTCTACAGAGGTTTGGTCCATCACCATCACCGAATTAATTGTTGTTTTTTAATAAAATTTTGAAAAAGAAGTTTTTTACTTTTTTATTCGAGTTTTTATTTGTTCTGACATTTTTAATAAAAAGATTACTTTTTGTAAAATTAAAATTTCTCTTGTTTTTAGTCTGAAATTTTTTATATTCAATGTCTAAAATTCTTCTTGTATTTTTTTATCTGACGAACTCCTGGTAATGCCAAACTTTTTGGCGAAATATATTGAGAATAAAATGAAGCATCTCTAGTGAAAGAGAGTACGGTTGGAATTTGTTTAAAAACGATCTAAAGTCTATAAAAATGAATCCAAAATCGGATCCAGCTCTTTCATATTTCTAAATTTTCTTCATGCTTTAAAAAAAAAACAATTCCATTATTAGAAAGGCCTTAATTTGTGTTAAAGTGAAATACGGTCTTTTCCCGATGTTTTTGATGCTTCTTCTAATCGGACTCCTATGAGTAAGTTTTCTCAAAGCATTGCTGACAAATGAAGATGAAATAAGCTTTTTACTGTTTTTCGATACTTTTAGCATTTTTATTATTCCCCCTCCCCTTTCCCCTTTTTTCGCTGAGTTGTCGAATCAAGCTTTTTTTTATTGAGTAAATCTTATATCAGAATTTAGATCTGAGTCACTAAAACTTAACAATTTTTAGATTTTCAAAAATGTTATTAAAAGCAAAAATGTTTTAATATCGTAGATGCGAATAATTTCAATGAATTCAAATTTTGATAATTCAAAAAAAATTTTTTTTTCAGAATTTGCAACTTTTAAGGATTTATTTTTTACTACATTTAGATCTAATTAAAGAAAATTAAATACAAAGTTTAGTATTTTTTTTTCTATTTTAATTGTCAAATATGGTAGTTTACAAAGTTCTGGGTTTCAAAAAAAAATATATTTTATTATTCAAAATATAAATATATTACAATTTCATCAGATTTTAGTAAAATTAAAACTTCGACACGATTTGAAAGAATATTTTTATAAAAAATCATATTGTAGAAAAACTGGTTTGATATCGATATTATGATTTTTATATCTTTATTAAAATTTCACTAGCCCGATTCATAATGGTACTTTTATATTGGCCGTGCGCTGTTTAAATATATTTTTTTCAAATACTCTGTCATTAGTTTTTGGGTCGATGAATTCAGTTCTAAAAAACACCAATAACTTAATTTTTAAAAACTTGCCTCCTTCCTCCATAATTGACATTTCAAAGATTTAGATATCCCACCTTGATGATTTATTTCGACCTCTAACCTATTCCTACAAGAGCGGTAGCATTCACGTCTTGATTGCCATTGGCAGGGAGTCCTGAAAAAAATTCACAGTCGTCTTTTATAAACGCAGCATTTACATCTTGATCGAATAATAAAAATTATCTTATTCAATCATAAATGCAATTTGCAGTGGCGCAATTAGCACTTTTTGTGAGTGTCTCACGGATACTCTAGTGGTGAGGATTGAACACACAATAGTAAATATGAATTTACAAAAATAGTGAAAAAGATAAAAACAATCATGGCGTATGTGAATGTGATGGAATGGAAGGCTGAACAAGTTTCTGAATGGTTACGCGGATTAGACGATGTAGTTTACCCGTACGCGCATTTTTTCCTAAACAACGATGTGACCGGGCAAGGATTGTTAAATATGACCGTAGATGACCTATATAAACTTCATGTAGAGAAGCTAGGTCATCAAGAAATAATCCTGGAATCCCTGGAACTGTTGAAAAATTTTCACTTTAATCTGGATCAAGAAAATCTGCAGTATATTTGTCTGAAATTATCCTGTAAAGCCAGATCACTTTACAACGAAATTCAAATGAGGTAAAAACATAATTTTAAGCCAAGATAAGTCTGTGCAGTCTGTTCTAGAGAATGATTTTCGGACCCCCCCCCTTCCCCCCTCCTATCAATTTTGTACACGACCACTTATTTTTCAGCAAAATTACTTAACTAACCTAACCCGTGGCCGCAGCGCTCGGCCCCCTAGCCTATCCTAGCCGCAGCGCTCGGCCCAGAAAGTGTCTTAACCTAACCAACCCGTGGCCGCAGCGCTCGGCCCAGTAAGTGTCTTAACCTAACCTTACCCTAAATAATGCTAAATAAATACTAATTGGTCATGTACAAAATTGATAGGAGGGGGGGGGTCCAAAAATCGTTTACTAGGACAGACCCGACTTGTATCCCTTGACATTAATCCTTTAAGAGTAGGACAGTAAATACCTGAATAAGAGGGGGTTCAAACCGTTCACTCATCTTGAATGTATCGTCTAATCTGAAATATTCAATCTATAATAAATTACATATAACTCACATCTTGAAGCAATCTATTTCATAAAATTACTTCCCTTCGGAGCCGGAATTTTTTCAAATTTACGGTCGTATTAAAGACGTCCTAAATACGTCTCCGTACTCTATAGTGTTTTTCCGCTAGATGTCTCCCGTAAGTTATTTTCGGACAGACAGACTTACTCACGTCGTGTTTACTCACATAATTTCGCCGTGAGCTAACCTTATTATAGATGTCAGCACCTGCACACAATACAACTTTATAAACACAGGGATAAATAATAATCACAATTTTAATAATATAATTTAATTCAAAAAGTCAAATTTTAATCCGATTTTGATAAAAACTAAATAAAAAGTTTAATATTCTGTAGTTTTATTTTACGAAAACTATTATAATCCAATGCTGTTTCTTGAGAATTTAATATTTTTGAAAGTCGTCAATAAAAAGCATCCCTGAAAATGTATTCTGCAGTGTATTGAACAGCTTTTTATTTATTTTCGTCTATAGGGGTCGCGCGATGTTGCAGTTTATGGTCGGACACTAGATGTTGTAGAAAATCCCATTTAGACAGTACTTAATTCCTCCGTATTCAGGACGTGAGTAAGTGGAGACGTCATATGTTTGCAAAAAGTACGGATGAAAAAATTCGGGCTCGGAGAATATGTCAAAATTGTCCCGTTTGATAAGTTTACACGTGTAGGCTGTAAGCGGCATTCACAAATCTAAAACTAAAAGTATGATTGATTGATTAAAATCATTGGCGTTAAATAAGCGCGGCCCATCTATCAGTGCCGCAAACAAATTTGAAAAATTAATGACATATGGGGTAAATCAATATTAATATTATTCATTAGTGTAACTTGTCAATATACAATCAGGAATGACGTCAGATATAACACATTTTTCCTTTATATAAGCTTTATTATTGTGAAATGTTTTTGTTTTGTTTTTGTAACAGAAATATCAAAACTGAGAAGACATTTTAAAAGAAAAACTGCGTAGAATCTCAAACTTTTCATTTCAAAGTAGGTAAACCCATATTTGTAAAGAAAGAAATTGCCGCTGTTAGTTTTACTTCTCAGATTTTTTACTGCTAGTATTTTATCTATTCTTCATGTAGGATATATTTTTGAAAAATCTTGTTGATATGAAGCTGTTTCTATTTTTTGAAGGGTAAAAAGAGTTAAGCGACTGATGGTGTACTTATATCTAGCGTAACACGATTTGATTCCGGGTTTCAATAAAAAAGCTGAACTTTCTTTGTAATAAAAGAAAACAATAAGAAATGCATTATGCAGTATTGCCCGCAAAGGATGAGGCTGTAAAGACGACGTGCAACTTGTATTTTATGACGACCCACGAAAGTCAAATAAGTCTTCTGTCTTACATATGCTATTTCAAGAGTTAACTCAATGATAATTTGCATAGAAAGAAAAGTTGAAGTTCCAGGAATTCATGAATTTAAGAAGACAGAGAGTATAAATTCCTTAAAATCGTCTTTGAAGTTGCATCCTTTGTGGGTAACCTCGTACTTAACTTTTAAAAATCTATAGAACATGAAACTACTTTTTTCAAATCCAGGATCGATAGTTGCTGTTTCCAGAATTTTTTATTCCAGAGTTTTTAGAGATTTAGTTCCGGGGTATGACGAATGAAGTTATGGAGTCAAACCAAGAGAAAGGGTTTGGCGGGTGTGAGGGCCCGGATGCTATGTAAGTTGTATATAAAGAGTATATTCCTAAAGAACGATTTTTGGACCCCTCCCCAGCCCCCCCATTTGCTCACCT